CCATAAAATATTTACGTTTATCACTATGAAGAGCTGATCATTACACATCAATCACTTGCTGTCTTGAGGAGTTGTTGATTTCTTTGCAAAGTAAAGTTAACTGTTGTTTCTACTGTGTGATGGTGGCTCTAATGAGACTTTAAAATTTGTTCTAAATTTTTTTTTTTTTTGATGTGCCAATCCAACATCCCATACCTCCAACCCAGACACACTTAAAACTATTCTCTACCTGTGTAAAGCAAGGAGGTGTTTCGTGTTCTTATTTTAATTTACGCTTTTATGGATGTTTTTTATTTTTATTTTTTGTACTTCTTGTTAAATACAACGTCACAAATAAACGCTGACATGGTTGAACAGATGTTCTACATCAGCTGGAATTTACTGAGATGGCGCTGACACGGTGGACAGATTCTGTAATCCTATTTACTTCTTTTTTTATCACTGAAACTGTTTCTGCTTTAAGGAGGTCACGTGTTGATCTAAAGGGAAAAACCACGAGTGGATTCCGGGCATCGCGTCTTTGTGTGAATGTATGAAAAGGCTCTGGGAGGTTAAAGAGCCTCGCTTCGCCACCGGTAAAATGCCTCGTTTGTGCGCTCTGCTCGCCCTGCTCTTTGCTGCAGGCTGCTCGCTGTGCGCTGCGGATGTCGGGACCTTCACTCCGTGCCTGCAGTTCTTTTACAGGTCTTGGCCCCCTAAGGGTCTGGCAGGGACGCCGATCTGCCAGCGTTTTATCAACAAGTATCGGTTCGCCACCCTGTACAGCCGACCCCGCCGCTCGCCCTGGTTTTCCGCCTATTTGTACACAGTACCTGCGGGAAAGAGACCCTCAGCATCCTGGAAGTTTGAGCCACAGGTGAGAGTTTGAATAATCCGTGTGTGTTTATATTAAAAAGAACAACAAAAGTAATAGATAGCATGCATCATGGTGATTATTGAAGCTGGAATGGAAACAGGCCAAAGTAAAAAACAAAAACAAAACACAAAACACAAAAATTAAACTAAACTAAAAGAAAAAAACCGAGTTTAAGCAGAACTTAGACTTTGTGCTGTGTCGGCTCTGCGTGCAAACACGCCGCACACTTCACGTCTCAGAACTGTTAACCGCTCCAAGTGTGTTGACATGCCAGCGAAAATCATGTGATTGTCGAGCATGTGCGTCAAGAGGAATTTGGTTTATGGGAGGAAGTTGACTGTTGACATAATTACTACAGCGCTGGCTGGTACACAATATTTTTGACACTGCATGTTTGAACGAGATAAAAGATGACTTGGTAAATCCTTTAATTGTCCCACAAGGAGAAATTTGATAAAATTTACTGGAATACACACAAAATGTGTGTTCCACTGTAAAACCCCAAAATATAAGAGTCACACAAGAGTTAAATGGGGAAGGCAAAATAAAATGACTGTGATGGTTTGGTAGAGTTGGAGTGGGAAGCAGAAGAACAAATATTTCATTTGAATGCTGCTTTTCCCAACTTCCTCTTGTGAAGTTTGTTTTTGTTATGTTATGTGAAGCTCTTTGTACGCTTATCTAATCCTATTTTCACTTGCAGCAAAGTCAAGGCCAAAAGTCAAACTTTTACTGACAAATAAAGCAAATTAATGCAAACAGTCAGCATTTGCAGTATTGACCTTTCTCCTTGTTTCTTCAGTGGGCTGGTTTCAGTCATTATGCAAATGTACGGTTTATAAGATTGGGGAAACCTGCAGTCAGCTGAGACTGAAGAAGTCACCTGGATGAGTGACAAAACGTTTCTCCCACTGAAAACGCTACATCCAGATGAACAGAATCAACTTGTGGAGCTTTAGCTTTCTGCTCATTTCTGCAGATTGGTCAGTTTAGGGATTTTTAACAGGACACTTTTCAGTGGCACGGCTGAGATCTGTGTCAAGGGTAAACCCTGATTGATCCTGCCTCAATCAGTGCTGCAAACTGATCGCTTTCTGAGGACTGGCCATACTAAAAACGTGAATAAAGAGAAATAAATGAATAAAAACTGAAGTGTTAAAGTGTTTGAAACTCAAATTTTGTGCTACTTCCAAACCTTTGGGCCATATCTGTTTTACGGTACAGTTAACAGGTTGAAAGGGGATATAACACTTCTTTTTTTTCTTTTTTTGTGCCGCATATTTCTTGTAGGACACTTTCTCGCTTTTATAATGTCAAAAATATCCAACACTGGCTCAATATGTGAGACTGTAAGGAAGTGGGGGTGGTGGTTGTAACCCTTTGACTGTTTATATCAAGAAAACTTTCCACGACATCCTGTTAAAGGCCGTGTGATATGAATAAATAAAAGTGTTAAGATTTCTCATCCCAACTAATAAAATGACGAAAAGCCTGAAAGTTCTTTGGACGATAAACATAGTAAGCGCCACATGTGCAGCAGGAGATACCCCACTCCTCCACCCTAAACGGAAACCCCCCTGTTCCTCTGATTAGTCAAAGGCGGAAATGAAATTGTGACTCTATTTGCCTAATTTATGTCCCCACTTTTGATTTCAGTGTGATGATCTGCTTTGCATTTCACACTTCTGAATGTACAGAAATGGGCTGCAGTTTATCCAGACAAACAGCAGGGGGCACTAGCAAGAGCACTTCTCAATGAGAAGGAGCAATTGGAGCTAAACATGTAAAATACGTTTTTACACCTGCTTCTAGAAAAAAACGATCTTACTTTAGTAAATACAGCAATGATAATAATATAAAGCAATGCTTCTGTAGTTTCTCTAATTAGGACGCTGACATTGTGCAAAAACCCTTAGCATTCTGCGTCTCCAAAAGTTGATTCTGTTCATCTGGATGTAGCGTTTTCAGTGGGAGAAACAAAGGGCTGGACCTCCCAGCCCATTGTTTCTTCAGTGGGCTGGTTTCAGTCATTATGCAAATGTACTGTTTATAAGATTGGGGAAACCTGCAGTCAGCTGAGACTGAAGAAGTCACTTGGATGAGTGAAGAAACATTTCTCTCACTGAAAACTCTACATCCAGATGAACAGAATCAACTTGTGGAGTTTTAGCTTTCTGCTCATTTCTGCAGATTGGTCAGTTTAAGGATTTTTAACAGGACACTTGCTTGATGTCCTGTCTAGTCCCAGAGTAAAAAAAAGTGACATATAAGTGAAGGCCACACTGAAAACATGTTTATAGTCTTGGACTAAAGGCAGTATCAAGTGGCAATGCCAAAATAAACTTCATAACTTAGCATCTTTTATTTTGTGAATATTTGCTTATTTAGCATGAGGCTAGGACAAATCCCTCTCAACCGTAGGTGGACTGGTAATGACCGGGAGGTTAAGTTTAAAGCATAGTCCTGGTACTTCCATTGAAGCATTGCTGATAATAGTACAAATGCAGCTTTAGGAGTGTCGACAACATTTTAGCCGAACAGCTTAAAGTCATTTGTGAAATCAGTGAAGTGTAAAGTCTGTAATAAAACCCTGTTTCTTCCTTTGCTGATAAACAGTTAGCCTACCCAGGGGGAGATGGCAACATGGAACAGTTCCCCCCAGGCCCTCTGGATCAGAACATCGTGGAGAGCCAGGCAGTGCAGCTGGACTACATCAACTCCACCTACTCCCGTGGCCACTTGAACCCCAGCCTCCACCACATGAGCCACGACACCCGCTCATCCACCTTCACCCTCACCAACGTGGTTCCCCAAAAGAACGGTTCTAATGATGGGCCTTGGGAACTTCTGGAGCACAGTGTGAATCACACCTTAGCAACCTACTGTCTCGGAGATGCCTACGTCGTGACGGGCATCATCCCCTACCGCAATGACGAGCACTGGCTCAAGAATCACCGCGTGGCGGTGCCTGAGTATATGTGGTCTGCCTACTGCTGTCCAAAGTACAACCAAAGTCTTCCAAAAGAGCTAACCAACGCCTTTCCCACGTACGCGGGCATCGGACGCAACGACCCCAACAGCAGCGAGGAGATTGTGCCTGTTGATAAGACGGTTAAGAAACAATTCAGGGGATATGATGTGAGAAATATGTCCCTGGAAACACTCGAGATGTACTTGAAGGACAGATTCAATACTGTTGTTAGTGTGTTTTATGAGCAGTGCACCGGATCAGACCTCACAGAAAATACATAAATGATACATAAATGCTGTTATATACACATTTCTGTGAGGAGAATAACACAAAGTGCAAATATTAATGACCACTACTGAAATGACTCATACACAACGCGCTGCCGCTGAGTTCAAGTATGCACAAAACACTTTAAACCACTAGGTGGTGTCCTTGTGCAATACATGTAGCTCCACATTTCGGCTGAAGTTGTATGTATGTATCAAACTAATTCATATTCTGATTCTGATTCACTAAATAACTAATAATGATCAGTGGTGTAAGAACTACTCAGGTACTAAACAACAATGCACATTCCTACCAAAGTAGAGCACAGATGTTTTGTTAGCCAAATATACTTGAAGTATCAAAGAAAACTTTTCATAACCTGATCTATAACTTCTATATCTTTGCCCCAAAGGAAAAAGTGGCAATGACTCCAACTCTTACATGCAACATCTATATTACTACGTATTATTCTTTTATTTTTTACTATTGAGAAATTGGAATGTCCTAATTTTCCCTTTTGGGTGCATAAAGTATATCCGATTTATCTAACAGCACATAGTATGTGTTAATATGTGCACCTGCAAATGACAGAAACTATAATAAATCAATATAGAAAAGATTTTCATTGCTGCAGTGTTTGTGTCCTAAATCAGCTTCCACTGTCTGAATCAAAATGTTGTAAAATTCCACAGATGATTAAAAATGTAAAGCTTGACTCTTAAAATTATATTCAAACACAGTACTTGAGTAACTGTAATGAATTACTTCCCAAACCTGCTGGTTTTGTTTGTACTTCATGCCCCAATCAAAGTAATGAGTAACAGACTCAGTCACCTGCTCCACAAGTTAAACCCAACTGGTGTGTCGTTGTGTGTATTTCATGTCAAATGATCACTGACACTTGTGTTTTATCACATCAGACTAGTAAGAATTTATTGCATTTACAGGTAATACAGTAGCACAGGTGTACAATTGGCTACACGGTGGTGTTTCAAGCAGGTTTACTCTGACAAACATGAATCAACAACTCAGTAAGATTGCTGCATGTGGGGAGTGAAGAGCTTGTCCCAGATCTCCACCTTCATGATGGCCCTGCCCAGGGGGGACATGGTACCCTTGATGTCCAGGCTCCCGCCCTCAAAGGTGAGGTCGGAGCCTTTGGCCTCCACCCGCACGAATCCCACCTGCTCTTTGTTGTAATACATCTCTTTGAACAGGCTCTCATTGCACTCTTTGCCCTTCTTGTAGATTCCCAAGGCAAACCAGTTCTTGTACATGTTATAGTCATATGGCACAGAGAACATTATAGCGAGTGTCTCATCGGCTCTGTTGAGCTCCTTCTTGAACAGGTCGTAGGTCAGCACGCCCACTGCCCCAGTGGCTTTGGCTTTGCCCTTGCCGAAGTTGCACACTTCAGTCTTTTGTGGACGTACAGTCGGTTGTGGGGGGCTGCGGCAGCTGCCACTTTCCAGGAAAAGCCTTTAATTTTTAACAGCAGCAAAAGTGAGGAAAAAATGAAAGCAGGAAGCAAAATTTGAAAATGAATTTTCCTAACTGGATATTTGTCAAGCTGCACGTAAAGCATATTCTAACTTTAATCTGTACAGACAAAGTGAGCAAAAGTGTATTTATTTTGGACATACTTAGGGTCAATCAGGCAGTAGTTGTTGGTGAGGTTAGTGATCTCTATGGTGACGTTCCTTCGGCTTTCGACAGCGGCAGCCAAAGCTTCTGCAGATTCACTCATGGTGTGGCTTGTAAAGGCTGTGACAGACAGAACAGAAGTGTAAACTGCAGATCTGTGAATGAGTTTAACCAATTGAAATAAAAATGCAAATCCATCTGAAACCCTCAAATAACTGAGCAGGAATGAAGCGTCTTACCTGTCGGGATCACTGGTACGTAGCGGACTCGTGCTTGGACAGATTTGAGACACTGAGTTCAGCTCTTACATGAGTCTCGTTGGGGAATGCGTTGCACCCAAAGGTGTCTCCACCCATAAGCATGCATCCACCTCCCATGTTGCTTCCCATCGCATGTCTGCAGAGGTGTAAAGCAAAGGGTGTAGCTAACAATAACAGCACAGGATAACTGTAGTCTTTTTGTTCTCACACTGCTGTCAATTTGTGAAACTACGAACTGGTTTGTTGAGGTTTGTGGGATTTTTCTGCACTACACCTTTTCTTTCTGGGTCTGTGATTTTGTTTTTCCATTGTCTGCATGAGGAAACAAACATGCTTCGTCTCTGCAGAGGGCTTAGACAGTTTGAAACATGTCTGTTGAAAGGTTGATGAATAACCTATTCCCCAATCCAAACCAACAAGAAAATTAACTTTAAACTTAAAAAATTCCAATAAGGAGAGGTTATAATACTTTATAATAGACCCTGCACTCCTAATATTACTGTGTAATCCCATTGGAAGAACAGGAAGAGTTATTCATCCTTGTCAAGATAAGAAAAGATGTGATACACCGTGGCCATAGGCACTAAACATTAAACATAACTTATTAAAAAGATATATTAAATAACTCAATAAAATTACGTGCAATGACCAAACAAAATACCACAGCAGGGTAATGTTAGTGGCCTGTATTTGTGTGACTGTCCAGAGCAGATTACAGGAGCAGCATGTCAGAGATGAACATCTGATGATTTTACAGGGAAATAGCATTTAGATTAGAGATTAGGATGCTCTAGAATAAAGCATGCATCCTTAATACTTTTGGGGAGGTTAGGACACTTATTCAATACTATATCATTTGAAAACTTTTATATTAGCTTCATAACAATGGCTCACAACAGTGAAAACGATGTCTTAAGGATGAGATAATAAGTTAGATAGTAAGATAAAAGTAAAGACTACAATTTGAGGAAGAACTAATGATGATCCCAACTCCCTTTTCCTCTCTTTTAAAACACTCATTATTTTAAAATACTTATAGTATTTTTTTGCAGTTTTATACTCTTTTGTTCCGTCGTACCATTAGTAAGCAGGAAGTGTTGTCAGCAGTGAACTTAAACCCTAACTTTAGAAGAAATTCCTCAGTAAATAACTGGAAAATAGTGGGACAAGTCACAGGCTGGGTTAAGGGTTGAGAATGATTAGCTACATTTTTATTCACTTTTGCATGCAAACATTTGAAGTCATGTCCAACAATTTATTTTTAGATTGAACAAAGAAACACAGAGGACAACAAGTCAGTTGAATTGTTTTTTATTTGTTTAAAGCACCTCTAAACCATAAGGATGACAACTTGCACTTTGGTTTTCAGGAATATCAGCAAATACACTCGACACATTTGTTTGCGAACATTTTATTCTCACACCTAATACAACCAGACTCTTTAGCCCATCCTGTCATACAGCTCCAGTTTAACAATAGCTTTGCCCTCATCGGACATACATGCCCTCACATCCACCGTCTTGCCTCTGAACACCAGCCCTGAGCCTTTGGCCTCGTAGCGGACAAAGTCGCTGCAGTTCTTGTCGTTGTACATGTAGTTGAACAACTTGCTGTCGACAGCTTTCGATTTATCAAGGACGCCCACGCCGAGCCAGTTCTTGTAGAAGTTGTAGTCGAACGGCACGGAGAACATGATGGCCACAATGCCATCGCAGCGGCGGCTGCGCATGTCAAACAGGTCATAGGTCAGCACACCCGCAGCACCTGATGCTGTGTTGTCATCCTTGGTGAAAGAGCACACCTCTGTCTTAGTGGTGCGCACGGTGGGCTGCGGAGGGCTGTGGGCGAAGCCACTTTCCATGTGAACCCTGAAAGGAAGGAGGGCAGAGGAAATGATCAAAGGTTTATTAATGCTCCTCGATGTAAAAACAGTCAACTGTGCAATATCCTCCTGACTGTTGATGCCATCAGACATTTAACACTGGCACTGCTGGAGGTGGTGCAAGCTCATCAACTGCAGACTCAACAGGACTAATGTTTAAATATCAAAGGACATGCAAATATCATTCTGGCCATTTTTTACACATCAGTAAAAAAATATTGGTTACAATTAAAATGCAGACACAAGAAACCACAAGGATACAAAGTAACAAATGATGGATGGCAGAAATAACTTGTGTTAAAGAGTGATAGACAGGTCTTTTTGTCTGACTTTTGATAATTTTGCATCACACGGGCATTGAAATTTTAAAAGATAAATGTCTTTTTTTTTGTTTAACTGCAAACAATAAATGCTCTCTTACATAAGCAAAGAAATCAAAAACTTTATGCTGGAGTAAAAGAGAAATAGTTTGGGCTGTGTTACTTTGGGTTGACGAGGCAGTAGGCGGTGGTGATGTTGGTGATTTCCATGGTGATGTTGCGATTGGTGGTAAGAGTGGTGGAGTGGGCCTCTGCATTTTCAGCCATGGTGACGACTGCTGGTAACGGCTACAAGAAAAACAGGTGTGAGCCGTGCAAAGTGCAGCAAAGCTCTGTCATGAAATGTTTTAGCTGTCCTGCTGAAATAAACACTGGAATATGAACTGAAGATGAAGTAAACACGAAACATTACATATAGCCAAAAAGTCACTATTAAATATCTGTATTCACTAATTTCACAAACTGACAAAAACACCTGCAGAAATGAGCACTTACTTCGCGTTAGGTGACACACACAGGATGGCAGAGAGTCCTCTGAAAACAGGTCGGACTTCGATTTGGAGATGAGTTTAAAGTCACGCCCTCTCTGTCACACCTAACACATGAGCTTCAGTTAAGTGGGCGTGCCTTTCTCTTTCTCTCTGCTTTCAATCAAACAGTATGTGATCACTTCACATGTACCTGCGAGTCTGGTAACGAGTGCAGAGTTGCACCCAAAACCTCACGATCCTTAAACCACCTGAACCGGTCTATCTTTGCAGCTGACATGAAATTCTGCTTTTCTTTGGGGGGGGTTTCCACAGTCTGTCTCTTCACAGGAGATTTAACATTCTTGCAACAGTTTCATGATTCATGGACACAAATGAATTCAACACACCCTTTTTTAAAGGTCTGGATGTTTAAATATTTGTTTGTCCTTGATGTTTGAATCCGCAGCCTGTCCCAACATGCAAAAACTGGAAGTGAGAAAGCAGAAAAGTTACGAGCCCAGCAGTTCACATTCAGACATATTATGACTAAAAACACAAAGAGGGATTACAGATTGCTGTGACCCAACAAATAATTGCAGAATGACAATACAAAAGCAGAATTACTGCATAAACATGCAAAAGTACAAATAAGACAAACAATGAGAACCAAATAGAAATGGAGCACAAAGTGACCAAAAAGAAATGGTAAATGACAAAAAAAAAGAGCAACAGGACTATAAATACATGCAGCTTTAGTAAAAACAATTTTTAAAAAAAGTTCCCCGCCCACCCCTGCGGGCAGGCTATCCTTCAAGCTCCTCCACCAGAGGCCTGGGAGCTTGAGGGTCCTGCACAGTATCTTAGATGTTCCTAGGACTGCGCTCTTCTGGACAGAGATCTCCTTTGTTGTTCCTGGGATCTGTTGGAGTCACTCGCCTAGCTTGGGAGTCACTGCACCTAGTGCTCCGATTACCATGTATGTCTTTTCTTAAGTTTTCTACCACAGACAGACAGTGGGGCGGTCACCACTGGTGGGACTACTGGATTTAAGATAGTAAAAGAACCTATCAACTATTTTAAACTAACACTGCAGCGCACCGAGACAAGTGTGACCTAATTAAAGGACAAACTAATAAAAACATTAAAACTAGAACTAAAATATCTGAAAGAAGCACAGATCTATTGAACTGTCAGTAAAACACAGCACAAGCAGAGTTGTGAGGTTCAGTTCAGTGACTTCAAATAGCGAAGGTGAGGCCTATAGCAGGTCTGCTATATGGAAGCGAATGCTAAACTAAAAAATGAGCCTGTTGGAGATTTCAGGAGACACCTTGAGCCCCAGATGTTGCGTTCTTTGAATGACTGATAAGGTGTGACACATGAACATGTAGTGCTTTCACCAGAAAAAAGTTTCATAAATGGTTATTGTTCTATAATAGGAAATCTGTACTAATAGTCTTTTTTTAACGTTCCTATAATCGATATGTATTAGAAGAGTTGTTTTAATGCTGACTTGTATTGAGTTTCTCTGTATGCAGTTGGAGGTTACATAGCTATGTATTTGATTATAATACACAGGAAGGCAGGTGGAAGGCTGATAAATGATAATTGCATTGCTGCCAGTCTTATTTGTGTGTGTGTGTGTGTGTAGCACCATCCTGTGGTCACTGTGTGTATAAAGTCCTGAAGTAAGAAATTTTTTTAAATGATAATTGATCATGTTTGCAGTGTTCCTGACACTCATTCTATGAACTTTAATGACTTTATACTATATCCATTAATTCATCCACTGGAGGGGGGGGACACACCAGTGTACTCTCATTCCAGTTCAAAGCTAGATCATATAGGAAAGGTGGCAGAAGATCATCCGGTGTAAAATCGTTCCCACTGCACCACGACGCCAACCACAGGAGCTCTGATTCAAACCAGTGTTTCAATTTAAATTTAAATCGGTTACGTCAGGGGTCCCAGTCCCAATCCACGAGGGCCGGTGTCCCTGCAGGTTTTAAATATGTTTATATTGATCCATCACAACTGATTTAAATGGATAAATTACCTTCTCAACATGTCTTGGCGTTCTTCAGAGGCCTGGTAATGAACTAATCATGTGATTCAGGTGTGTTGATCCAGGGTGATATCTAAAACCTGCAGGGACACCGGCCCTCGTGGACTGGGATTGGGGACCCCTGGGTTAGGTTCACTGACACTTTGGCCTCTTTTTGAAAGAGAGCTGCTGTTCCAGGTTTCTCACACCTGACTGCCACAGCTGAACAGTATTCAGATCTTTGTGTGTAACTTTGTATATAGCCCCAGTAAAAAGTGTCCGTAAAGTGTTTTACTTGTTAGTGGCAGCTAGATGAGGAGTTCTCTACCGTTTTTGTTTATGCGCATTTTTCTCCTGTTTTGTGGCCAGCTGGGAAGTTTATCTGTATTTAGTATTTTTTGGTTTTAACCTAGAAATATGTTTCTTTACTCTCTAAAGAGTCGGGTTATTTGTTGCTTATTTTGGTCTTGGAGACCCTGGCCTTAACTTCTTTCCTTTTTTCTTTTCTTGCCTATTTATGTTAAATAATGTAGTATAATTATAAATACTCCACCGTAATTTGTAAAATAAATTCATTTGACACATGGTTAGGTTTGTTCGGAGGCTCAGTCTATAGTTAGTACTGCCTATACTTTATCTTACACTCACTGTGTCTCCTAGGCTTTTTACATGCAAGAGGCTTGTAAGATAAGTGGGGGCTCGTCCAGGAAATTCCCTGAATCATAGCTCTGTTTTATTTTGAGACCTCCTTTTACTTAACTGCTTATCCACTTCAGGATAAGCAGTTCAGGATCACAAATCTTAGCATCTTCGTGCTTGCCATACTCCCTACCTTACTTCCTTCTACCTACAGTAGGCTCTTGCACACACAGTATGTAAGAGCCTACCAGCATGTTCTTTCACTAGTTCCAAATATGCCATCCCACTCTCCTCCACCTGTATCTTTGACCAACTGGCACCCTGTTGGTGCCAGCAGTTGTTGTTGCTAACTTGGTCCCTGATCGATCAGGTAATCCCATTCTTGATAATCCAGATGTTTAATTTGGTAAAGATTTTATGCCGATGCTCTGCTTGGTGCAGTGCTCCTCATTTATCAGACTTCAGACCAGCACTAGGAGTACGCTGGTTGATAACCCCTCACCATCTGCAAAGAACCAGTTTTAAATTGCATCTTTAGGCACTTTGTTACTATCTGTCTGTTGGAAAAACACAGCATTTGTTCCAGTTTCTTTGATTGAATCTATGAAAATGTTAAAGATAACAAAGTTTGACAGACAGAAAGTTGTGTTTTTGCATCAACAGGGAAATTCCCAAAGTTCAATAATATCCAGTGAATAATGTTAGAAAAACAGTAAAATAAAGTTTATTTCATTTAAAGAAGAAAATATCTGAAGAAAATCTGCAGACGAATCCATAAAAATTCAAAATTATGTCTCGAGATGATACAGTAACCAGGTTTGGGCAGACCTGCTTATTTCAGCCTCGTGTAGAACAAAGATGAAGACCTTTGAATTACAAAATATATATAGTATGACACATGGATGTAGCCTGCAGCAAGTGTAAATGAAGCATTTTAGATTCCTGAATTTTAACAGGTTTCAGCTACTGGAAGAGCCGTGTTCAAATTATTCAAGGTATGATCTCATGAACCTGAGCAACACACCAACAATAGTGTCCCGGTCTGTCATCGGTATCTGTGTGACTACATAGTTTTGATTTCTTAACTTCTACAATGAAACCAGTGAATAAGTAGGTGTGGACCTGACTAGATACAGACACAATAACCATCACACAGCATTACACATTACTCTGTTTCTAAAAACATCAGCATTTCATTTAAACACAGCAGATTTAAAGTTTCCACACAAAACACTTTACTAGCAGAAGCACAGGAGTGATTTCTAAAGTGCTTAACTTTGAGCTAAGGTAAACCTGACTGGAAGATGATAAAACCAGCAAAAACACTGGTAACACTGGCTCTTAAGATAAGAATGAACTTGTTGAATTCTCATTTTAATACTAACATTAACTCAGTCTGAAGCCCATTGCTTACTCGTGTGTTTGTGAAACAGTAACATGTTTTCATATTAGGAGACTCAGAGTGTGTATTCACTCTACTGCATGAGACACATCAGTCAGCCACAACATTAAAACCACTGACAAGTGAAACAAGTAACACTGCTTACTGGTGTTAGCTTGTGTACTTGTGTGGTGTTGTTATGCTAACTTAACCGCTTAATGTTTAATTTGTCTTTTAACCGTTTCATGCATGAATTAAGACGACCTCAATCAGGATTTTTTACTTAAGTATTTTTAATCATCTTTAGGCATGAAAAGATGAATAAAAATGCTTAAGAAAAATAACAATAATAACAATAATTACAGTGAAACACGTCACACATCTACAGTAACATTAAATGACCAGTGGGTAGCAGGGTATGCAGTGACACATCAGTGTCGAATGTAGTGGTTTATGTGCAAGTATACCATCAACACTGACACAAATACAACCCTTTGAATAGCTGTAACTGTAGTGACCACTGTGTGTGAAAGGGTTAATTCTTATATTTGTTTCTTTTATTCTGTTGTAGGGCTTAAATCATGTTTTTCATGATGTGTTTTAGTGTCTCTTGTGTTTAATGCTAACATCCATCAGGTCACAGGTGTATGGAAGCCCGTTTCTGCCACAAAAAAACAACAACAAAAAAAGCATCTATAACTTGAAATTTCAACTTATTAACTCGAAATTTTGAGAAAAGTAGCTCGAAATTTTGACTTACTTTACTCAAAATTTCGAGTTAACTCGAAATCTTACTGAAATGTTGCTCTGTAGCTGATTGTGTCTTATTTTAAGTGTAATGAGATAATTTTGATGAGAAATAAGACAAATATACTTGGTAATATTTTGAGTTATTGCAGTCCAGGCGACCGTTCCAAGGTTAGCACTGGATTATGTTTAAGCCACATGGTAAATAGGCCGAATTTTCAGAAAGATGTTTCGCAGTAATGCGGACGCTGTACTGGTCCATTGTGGTGAAGAGAGAGCTGAGTGTAAAAGCGAAGCTCTCAATTTACCGGTCGATCTACGTCCCTACCCTCACTTATGGCCACGAGCTGTGGGTAGTGACCGAAAGAATGAGATCGCTGATACAAACGGCGGAAATGGGCTTCCTCCAAAGGGTGGCTGGCCATTCTGGAGGGGCTCAGAGTAGAGCGGCTGCTCCTCCATATCAAAAGGAGCCAGTTGAGGTGGTTCGGGCATCTGACAAGAATGCCTCCTGGGCGCCTCTGGGCATTTTCCGGGCATGTCCCACTGGGAGGAGGCCCCGGGGTCTGCAGACCCAGGACACGCTGGAGAGATTATATCTCTTGGCTGGCTTGAGAACGCCTTGGTGTTCCCCCAGAGAAGCTAGAGGAGGTGGCTGGTGAGAGGAAGGTCTGAACTTCTCTGCTTGGGCTGCTGCCCCCACGACCCGGCCCCGGATAAGCGGAAGAAGATGGATGGATGGATGGATGTTACCATTCAAATTACGTATCGAATTATCTCTTTCTGACTGAACATCTCTTGGCCAGAAAGCCGCAGTCAGTCCAAGGCTTCACAGGTCTTCTGACCTTTGATGTTGATACTAATACTGTGGCTTACTCCCACAGGTTTCTGAGTGTGAATGGTTGTCTCTCTGTGTCAGTACTCTGACTGGCCACCTGGCTGGAGTGCTACATATTTACACCGACGCTGGCTGTGTTAAAGCTACACCACAGCTACAGCACTTGACAAATGTGTTTGATCTCTTTCTGACTGAACATCTCTTGGCTAGAAAACCGCATTCAGTCCAAGGCTTCACAGGTCTTCTGACTCCATGTTTTGATGTTGTACTAATACTGTGGCTTACTCCCACATCTCAGACCGAAATATAGGGCCGTAGGCTACAATTACCGCCAGTTTTTGTTGTGTCTTGGGATTTGTTCACACGAATAATAAACATATTATTGCTATACAACTACTAGAACAATAAAAACAGCACCACCACCAACAATTTGTACTGCAACCAGTGGAAACAAAACATGAGGTTTACATGCATAACCACAACCTGAAATATTCTCCAGCAAATGCCTCTACATGTGGGCGGGCCTTAAAGGTCATTTCTGAGGAAACATGGCTCCAGCGGTGATGGACCCCAGGTGAGTCTTCGCTTCTATCCATTTGTTGTAATTGGTCACTCTGGTGTAAACACCGGGACGCAGCTCTTTGGCGCAGCCGTCGCCCCAGCTGATTATTCCAAACAGGAAGAGCCTGCTTCCGACTTCGCACACCAGAGGGCCTCCTGAGTCTCCCTGCGGGGGAAGAAAAGACAAGCAGCGCTGAAGGAAACTGACAAACCGACCTCTGGAATCAAAGTCGAGACCAGACGTATGCAAATACCTCGCAGGCATCCTGACTCCAGTCGGGACGAGCGGCACAAAACATGTTATCAGTAATCATGTTATCGTAATAATCCTTCCCTCGGCACACGTTGTCGGCGAGGAGGTTCACCTGAGCCTCTTTTAGGTATTGAGACCTGTACCACAAAGCTGGAGAGAAGAGGAGTGTTAAAGCCCTGAAGGGTGAACATAATTATAATTATGTGCTGCAGTTACAGAAATTAGGCATTTTAAATGAGCCTCTGTTTCCTTCACTTGTTCTGCTACACTGATAGCTGGTGACTTGTCTTTGTAAGGCTTCCAATAATATTCCCATAACAAAAGAAAAATGAGCACAAAGTTCAGAGTGTGTCAATGATTCCCGACTTTGTAGCCGGTGTGCAAACATTCAGTGGACAGATCAGCTCAACTTGAAACAGCACAAAAGTTATTATTGGATCGAACACATAAATCTGCAAGTAGTTAATGTTCGATTTGCTTCAGGCTTCACTTACAGGTGTAATATTTTAGTGTAGACATACTTGATATACGTTTGTTTCTGTCAGATGTAAGAACAATGCTCAGAGGACTCTCCTCACCGTGACTTTCTTTCCCATATCCGGCAATGTCACAGGTGAATCCTGGCTGCAGGCTC